GAGGGATCGTGACCCTGGTGGCGCGGACGCGGCGTAGTTTGCAAGGGATCGTGGCCCTGCGAGCGCGAAGCCAGTGTAATTTACGAGTGACCGTGGCCCTCGGAGCCCGAACCCAGCATACGTTGCAGAGGACCACGATCCTGGAGCGTGAGCCCTGCGCATACAACGTCCAGAGGACTGGTGTCCTGGGAGCGCGAATCCAGCATAATTGTTCAGGGGCCCGGGGCCTCGAGGGCGTCACCCCCGCGAAGTGTACGAGGGACGGCGGCCCAGGGAGCGCGGACGCCGCGTGATTACGGTGGGTCGGTGTCTTGGGAGCGCGGAAGCAGCGTAGTTTACCAGCGATCGCAGCCCAGGGAAAGCGGACGCAGCGAGATGTACGAGAGATCGCCTTGGGAGCGCGGTCGCGTCGTAATGGCTTCGTTCATGGGTCGGCCGTGCGTTGCCCCTCTCTGATTCCGCGGTGTCTGGGCGGGGGAGGGCGGGGGGAGGCAAGCCGTGTTGTTTGGAGCAGAAGCAGGAGCTTGGCTCGGAGCGAGGTCCCGTGCCACGTCCCGTGGCATGTATCCTGACGCATTCCCTGCACGGCCCCTGGCGCGTCGCTTGGCACGTTCCCTGGCACGTTCCACGGCGCGCCCCGTGGCGAGTACCCCTGGCACGTGACGCGGCGCGTGCCTTGGCACGTTCCGTGGCACGTCCACTGGCACGTTCCGTAGCGCGTCCCCATGGCACGCCCCGCGGTGCGTCCCCATGGCACGTCCCTTGTCTCGTCCGCTGGCGCGTCCCGTGAGACGTTCCGTGGCGCGTACTCCTGGCATGCCCCCTGTGGCATCGCCCAATTGCATATGCAATTGAGTTCCTTAGAATCGGTTCCACGCCTCGGAGTTCTCAATCCCTTTCCGGGTTTGTGGATCGATCATGTTGTTCTCTCGTTGTATCTCTTTTTTTCCCCACCCTCCTTGGTTGGGTATTCATTTTGAATCAGGGATTGTGGTCTCCACCTTCCTTCCTCCCGCCTCCCTCCCTCCTCCTGCGTCCTGCTTCCTGCTTTATTCCCAACCCTCTTTGGTTGGGTATTCGTTTTGAGTAGAGCATTGCTCGCGCGTCTCCTCTCGCCTCCCTCCTGCCTTCTGCCTGCCTCTTTCTGTCTTGCCTGCGGGGGGCTGCGATCTGTGAAACTGTCGCTACTTTCGAGGCCTGCTGGGGGGGCCCAGCGCAGTGACGCTACGCGCGGACCCAAATTAGACCTCGCCATCCCTGGGGGCTGCGATCTGTGAAACTGTCGCCACTGTCGAGGCCTGCTGGGGGGGCCCAGCACAGTGACGCTACGCGCGGACCCAAATTAGACCTCGCCATCCCTGGGGGGGGCTGCGATCTGTGAAACTGTCGCTTCTTTCGAGGCCTGCTGGGGGGGCCCAGCACATGGAGGCCACACGCAGACCCAAATGGGACCTCGCCATCCCTGGGGGGCTGCGATCTGTGGAACTGTCGCCACTTTCGGGGCCTGTTGGGTGGTCCACGCATGTTGCTGCTGCCGCGTCAGCGGGGGCTCTTACGGAGCCCGGCGAGAATTAGTTCAATCACATTTGTCTGCGTTTATGATGCATCAAATTGTTTGGAACCCGCTGGGTGAAGAGTTGTACCTCGTAAAAGGTGCAAGCGATTTGCACATCTCTCCACGAGACGCCCCGCGTGCTTCGAGAGTTGCGCGCAGGCCCTCGATCACATCATCCGCTAACCGTTATTGTTTCTGGGACATCGCCGCAGATTCAAGTTCGACCTCGCCATCCCCCGGGGGCTGCGATATGAGATCCCCGCTTTCGAAGTGGCTAGGGGTGCTCAGGGATTGTAACTAACCAGCTTTATCTAGTCCTTGTCCAGTATCCAGTGTCCTGCGAGTCTCCCGAATTCCGTCTGCAGACATATGTCACCTTCGCCCCGTCATCGCCCCCTTATAAAGTGTCCTAAACTAGTTGCGCCCCGCGTTTGCGCAGGGGTTGGGCACGTCGCCAAAGTAATGTCTCTCTCCTTTTTTCTATATTACATGCAAGATTGGTTGGCTCTCTTCGTTTTGCCTCAATTCTTGTTCCTACGTCCGTGCCTTCGGGCACCTGTGGAACGATGGAGAAGTGGGGTGCTCTTAAAAGTATGGCGGTGGGAGCAAGGATACATTGAGCGCCCCGAATTCGGGCTGGGCAAACAGCGGGCCCGAGTACGGAAACATTGGGACGAATTCCGGTGCAACCTGACCAGGACGACCTTGTCTCCTCGTTCCCCGAAACGCATGCGAAGGCGATTCGAGCGGAGAAACAGCGTGACCACAAGGGGGCGAGATCATGGCCTCGAAGAGGGGGCTCCAATCATGAACTTGGTGGAGTTTGAGAGCGTGGCTGTAGCCTGGATCGATTCATGGCCGCGAAGGGGCCGACGGTAATAAGGAAGGGGCGGTCACGGCGATGGTCATGCCATGTGGGGGGCGAAAGTGGTAACAGTGAGTGGGGTTTTGGTCAAGCTGGTAAGGGGCTCCTGGTATACACCGTGAGTGGGGTCAACGTGATGACTACGAAAAAAAAGTCGAGGCAATGCCTGGCTAGCTTCCCACAGGTAGCTGGAGAAAGTATGGGCCTTTCGACCCCAGAAACGTCTTCGGCGAGGCGCAGGTACTTGACGGCATCGCGAACCGACAAAACACCAAACAGTCACTGACACATTGGATGAACCGGGCTCCACGACTTCGCTTTAGTGAATTTGTCCTGAGGGACCTCATGGCGCCACTCGTTCTGGTGACCCTTGGCGTCAAGATTTTCTGTCACGTCAAGGCGGCGTCCGTCATTGGGCGTCTTGGGGCCCCTCGGAGTGTTTTTTTTTTTTGTCGAGGCATCTTGGGAAAGTCCCGGTGGCCTCTTGCAGGCTTTCTGGCAATTTTCGGGGGCCTTTGGAGGCCTTTGGGGAGTTTGGTGTGTGTGTGTGTGTGTTTGAGTGCGCGTGGGTGTGTGTGTGTTTGTGTGTGTGTGTTTTGTGTGTGTGTTTTGTGTGTATGTGTGGTCGTGTGTGTGTGTGTTTGCGTGTGCGTGCGTGCGTGCGTGCGTGCGTGCGTGCGTGCGCGCGTGCGTGCGAGCGCGTGTGTTTGTGTGTGTATGTGTGTGTGTGTGTGTTTGTGTGTTCCGTTTGTGTGTGTGTTTTGCGTGTGTGGGTGTTCGTGGGGGGGTCATCCGCGGGGTGGGGCGCCCGTGCAAGATGGATATTCGTAGGAAAATCCTCACTGGTGTCACTCACACATGTTCGATGATTATTTCTGAATTCGGTTAATACGACTGTGAGCACCAATCGCGGGGGGGGGGAGGGCGTCCGTGCAAGATGTATATTCGTAGGAATGCCCTGAACACTGGTACACATGTTCGACACGCACTCCTAGTTTCCATTATTTTGACCGTGGTCACAAGTACTAGACTGTACTCCGTCTTCTGGTTTTCTCTATCTCTCTCGTTCTCTGTGACTCTTGCGCCTGCTTTCGATACCATTTTCAATTTGCTCGAACAAGTCATCGGTATGATTGCGTTTTTCATGTAGATATACACGTGCATACATGCATTGTTATACATATATGTGCATATGTAAATTCATATTCATATACATTTATACATGCTATACACATTACACATATACATGCGTATGTCTAAATATGTGGTATTCACTGCCTCTGCTCAACGCTGTTTTCTGCTCGCTGGGATGTGCTCTCTGCTCTCGACCCCTCCGCCCCCTGGCGCCGTGAGCATCCAACAGACGGGGAGCCTCCGAGGGGGGGCCCCCGCCGCCCACCGAACCAGACATCGGACCGCAGCCTCGGAGAAGCTCGGCCGCCCCACGGAGAAACAGCCCGGCAGTCTTCGACTGAGCCCAGCGCCGGGAGCTCGGGAGCCTGGCCACCAGAGTTCGGAGGGGGAGCTCGGAGGGAAGGGGGGGAATTCGGTGGGGGAGGGGGCAGCCGCAGCAGCAGGAGGAGTCCGGCCTACGCACTCGAGAGCGCGCGACTCGATGGGGGAGCAGAGGTGAGGCAGAAAGCGAGTTGCCTCAGAACTCAATCCAAGATGTAGTTAGAATCCTCGCCTTCAACGGCGTGGTGGTGGGGCCCACGGGCGAATATGCTCTCCTGAGGGCTATGGGAGGGGGAGAGGGAGGACATGGAGGACAAGGAAAAGGTATGCGGAGCAAGAAGAGGGGGACAGAGGGCTTTGGCCTGTAATTTCTCCATTTCCTTTGATTTCCACCAGGTCCCGTGCAAAGGCTGATTGGGAGAAGTCGGAGCGGGATGGGGAGGACGTGGAGGACAATTGATGGGGCGTCGGGAACCCGGGGGCGTGGCCACCCAGCCTGCCTGGTATGTTCGCTAATTCCTTCGGCTTCCGCTGGGTCCCCTGCAGTGGAAGCGTTGATGGAATTCGGAGGGGGAGGGGGTGGAGGTGGAGGACAAGGAAAAGGAACAAAAAAACGGGGAGGGGAGAGAATGGTTTTGCGATGTCTCTTGTGGCCCACTCTGGCGCATCTCCCTCCTGGGGCGTCTTGAGTCTTGGGAGCCTCGTGGGGCCATGTGGCGGCCCTGTTGAGCTGTCTTGGTGAGTTTTGCGGCATTCTGCACCGTCTTGACAATCTCTGGCACACCCCCTCCCCCCCATCGCCCCTCGAAAATCCTCAAAATCGCCTCTACTTGGATGAGATGTGTGTGGCAAGGGTGCCCGCAGGTCAGTCCTGTGGGCTGGGTCGCAGTCCGCTGCGTTCGGCCGGTTCGGATTCGGCTGGCTGTTGGCGGTGTTGCCTCCTTTGGGTTTCGGTTGGTTTGGACGTCGTTGTCGGCCTGGCTGTTTTTTTTCGCTATCGGCCGTGGACGTCCATGCGCCATGTGAGCGGAATATCTATATATACATGTAATTATACATCTATATATATATATATACATATATATATATATATATCCTACGCCTTGATCCCCCAGGGGTCGGCAGATATGCATGACCGCGGTGGACCTTTGGCTGGCGAGCGCAACCGCGGCCGAGCTCGCGGCGGACGACCTCAAGTGCGCCATGATCGTGATCGACGCCTACTTCCAGGCGTGCTTGGCCAAGAGGAGGCCGACCGGCGAGTGCGAGAAGGGTGCCATCGTAAAGCGCCTCAGGGTCGACCTCAAGGACCGGTCGCTGATTGAAAAAGTTGGCACCAAGAGAAGTCTACGCAGCCCAGCGACCATATTCAGATTCCTGAGTGCCGCGGAGAGCATGGGCGTGGAGGCGAACCTGGAGCCACGGTATTACCGGACGCCGTGGCCAGCCGACTATTTCACGAACATCACGAAGGCCGCACACGTGTTGCGCGCCAATTTGAAGGAGTTCGAGAACGTTGTGAGGGGTCCTTACCCGCACTACTCCGACGTCTTCGCGTGTTGCCGCGAAATGCAGCCTTTCAAGAGCATACACGCCGATATCCTCCACACGATGGATGAGATGCTGACCATGGTTGACACGATCCTCAAGAACGAAACTGGTAAGTCCCAGCACAACGTCGTGAAACGACTACATAAGCTCGAGAAGGTCGACAAGATCGAGGACATGATGGCGCTCTTTGAGGCGCTCAACGAGAGCGACTCCCCAGACTTGCAGTATCCCGAAACGGCTCCGCCGACGTTGGAGGAGGATTTGCTTTGTCGATTGAACGTGGTTTTCATGATCATGGAGTCGACGATCGAGAAGGTGGCAGAGATATTGAAGGAGTGCATCAAGGAGCTCGTCTGAGCTAGATTCGCCGTCGTCCGGGGCGCCGCCTGTTACTCAGTGGGTGCTGGTCTTGTGAGAAGTTGTCGGAGGCCTCGAGGTTGACACCAACACCAATACTGGCTGTGTGCCTCCACTGAGGAAGCATGATCCCGATCTGGGTAATGTGGTAACATGCGGGCTTAGGTGGCCGAAATGTGACCATGAAACACCGAAATCTAGGATAATCTTCCTCCGGTAGAGGCAAGCCCCTGTTTTGGTGTTGGTGCCCATTTCCAAGCTTCCAAAGTTGGCCAGCTTGCTAGATCGTTTCGAAGTCGACTCGGCGAGGAACACGGCGTTACCTGGCAGGTTTCAAGAGAAAATGAAAATACAGCAGGTTCGCACCGCGTTGACGCGGCGGCGACCCCAGCGCGTGCACGCAAGGTTCAGCGCTGCCAGTGGCTTGGACTCGGCCGATGTCCATCAATCTGCGCCATCGCATCGCCTCGACATTTCGATGAACTATCCACGCGGTGCTAGAGACCAACGCCGACGTCATCGCGACATGACTCCTGCAGTGCACGATGCTACCACTGTTGTCAGAAAATGCTTGGCCGGCCAGTATTGAATGCACTAGCCCTTTAATTCCGTAAAGGCACGATTGACCGGCCTAGATTGACTGAACCATATAGATATTGCTGCCAGCTTTTATCGGAAAGCCGCGATCCTCCATGGTTGAACGATCCACGCAGTACTAGAGAAATCAGCGCCGACGTCATCGCGACGTGAAATTCTTCACGCTTCGCGTAACTCCGCCAGCGATTGACAAGGTCCAATTCATCCATCTCGGTGGTCTCGTTCCTGGGGTGCCCGCACGCCTGCACAGCCTCCTGGCAGCCCCCGGCAGCTCTTGCAGCCTCTGCCCTCGGCGCAGACCAGCTTCCCCTGGCGGTAGGTTTTGTTGTTGCCTGCGCGCGCTAGGCAATTAGTTCTGACGCAGCCTGCGCCTTCGCCTGCGGTTGCGACAAGCAAATCTCCGCCAGCCGCCAGCCCAACCAAAACCGACCACCAGTCGAGTTGCCCTGATCAGGGAAGTGCAGGAGCATCCGGTGGAGCAGACGTGCGAGTCAGCCGCAGCCGTCAAGCCCAGGATCGGAATCGGCCGGAGCGTGCCCAGGAGTGGGATTGCTGATACAGTGGCTTGGCATCGCTCGGACGTGTACATGTTTCCTTCGGCGAGGACCATCGAGGAGCATCCTTGATCATTTGGCGAAGAAACCACGCACTAAACCGAACAAAAGCACAGGGAGCGGACGTCCGAACGATGGCCAGGTGGGGACATTTTGGGAGCCTTCGGAACCCGTTTGAGGCCCTTTGAGGGGCCCAGGGGGCCACCTTCAGGGAGTACGTCACATATGAAGGGTCCGTAGATGTCCTGCCTTCAAAAGCCCTGTTGGTATTTAGAGAAAACGAGCAACGACATGCTCATTAGTTGTTGGACGTTGACTTCGACAACCACGACGACGACCACGACCTCGACCACGACCTCGACCACAACGACGACCTCGACCACAACGACGACGCCGGCGACGGCGATGGCGACGGCGACGACGACGCCGACGGCGGCGGCGAAGGCGAAGGCAGAGGCGGAGGCAGAGGCGGAGGCGGAGGCGGAGGTGGAGGCGGCGTGGGCGACCGCCCGAGGCACTCGCCGCTGGTGGCGAGGCCGCGGCTGCGGCTGCTGGGAAGTCGCCGTGAGCCCAGGGGGGGGTCATCGTGGGGCTGACGAGGAGGAGGAGGGAGAGGAGGAGGGGGGGAAGGAGGAGGAGGATGAGGAGGAGGAGGCAGGGAGGAGGAGGAGGAGGCGGAGGAGGAG